GGCTGGTCTGTGAAGAGGAACGGAAAGCTCTCCACCTGGTGGACCTCCAGGAAGCAGTGGCCACTGCTCATGTCACAGAGGTGCTGGCAGAAATCAATGTCCACATGGCAAAGCTGATGACTGAGATGGCAGAGATCAGAAGGCAGCTGAACACCTTCAATGAGCTAGCCCTGCTCAAGCCTGAGGTAAAACTAAAAGCAGATTGGTCTGTGAAGAGGAACGGAAAGCTCTCCACCTGGTGGACCTCCAGGAAGCAGTGGCCACTGCTCATGTCACAGAGGTGCTGGCAGAAATCAATGTCCACATGGCAAAGCTGATGACTGAGATGGCAGAGATCAGAAGGCAGCTGAACACCTTCAATGAGCTAGCCCTGCTCAAGCCTGAGGTAAAACTAAAAGCAGATGAACAGGAGGCAACACAAATCTGTGATGGATACAGTAAAGAAGTCTCCCCTGTTGCATATGTCAACATTAAAGATGCCTACAAATCCCAATAAATAGTGATATGCCCAGATACAGTGCAGGATGAGTTGTGTGGTCATATTGGGTGCCCACATACTTTAGGTGGTTGGAGGGGCACAAGGCCAAATACCCACAACCACTTAAGTGGATTTCTAATGTTCTGCAGTCACAATTTTTGAAGTGTGCTATTACTTCATAAAACATCTAGTGAATGCTTTAACTTTCTTGTAACCTGGCTAAAGATTGGTGAGCTGCCTGCCCTTGCCCTCTCCTGGATTGCTCCTTCCAGGATACCACATCAGGACTATTGTAGATATAATGGTGCATATGCATTCATGGGAAAACGAAACACCTAGATCAGTGGTATTCCATTATTGGTTCTTAAACTATGTGTAGATCTCTCAGGTCTAAGTCTGATCAGCACTCTTCTCCCACTACATGGGTTCCGAGTTTGTGACTGGATAAGCAGCCACCAAACATAAATCTAGAGCCAAACACCTTGAGCATACACCCCTTAACTATAAAAAAAATCTCTGGCATTTTTGCTTCTTATCCTCATTGAAATCCCCGCTTGCAAAGATGGGGTTGAGGACAGTGCAAGGGAAATTATGGTTGTGTCAGGGAAATTGGAAGTGTATTTTAACAGTTGTGTACAAGTTCAATTCTAAATTTTTTTGTTTGCTTTTGTATTTCTCCAAACCAATTTGCTTCTCTTGTCTTTCACTTTACCCAGCAGTTTATGCTCTCTCTATCTTCAGGTCAGTAAAAGCATCATAAAACACATGGGTTTTTGAGTATTCATTACATGGTGAATGAAATTAATGCAACTCTTAGACCATATAATGATATGGTAACTTGATACAGGCCCGCTAAGGGAAGCTCATTCTTCACATGTGGGCTCCTAGATATGAGCATCAACACTGAAGGCATAAAATGGACATTTATTTGCCTAAATTCTGTCTGTCTTCCCTCAGTGGGGAACTATTTTTGTTTTTGTTGTTTTATGGGCCAAAGACCCCACCAAGATGAGAGTCTCTTTGTGCTGGACGCTGTACACCTCATAAGAGAGAGTCCTTGCCCCAAAGAGTTTGTAATCTAATACTGAACACCTTTATAAGGCCCATGCATGAAAACTACAGGTTTGCAGTCTAAAGATGTACAGTTTTAAATCATAGAAATTTCTTTTAATCTTCAGACAGTGGTTGAAATTCAACCCTGGTGAAACTGTAGCTACTTCCCTGGAGTTGCAGCAGGGATGAATTTAAGAGAAACTCAGGTTGGAAAGAACCCCATCAGGTCAAGAATTAAACTTCAACTTTTGTGATGCTCTAGGAACAAATTAATTGGGCTCTTCTGATGCAGTTGCACATGTAATATAAAGGGAAATGAAGACACTCTGATAGCTGGATTGCATTAACTACTTTTCAGTGCTTGATACCTCTGGAGTCTGTGTTCAGTTGCTAGTTTGCAGCTGCTTTCACATTATTCATGAATTGCCACAGATGTGCCTACAATAGTGGCATCATTAGGAGATTATCTCCACAGCAGTGAGAGAAGAGTGTTGCTGAATCGTGACGTTAGGCATTTCTAGACCGGTACCAAGAAGGTCTGCACTTAAAGTGAATGTCTTAAAATTAAAACTTGGAATGAGTAACTCTGCTTCCTCTGAACTAAACTTTGGAGAACGTACACCATGCACAACAGGGTCCTGGTATAAGATTGGAGTTTCTAGGCATAACTGGATTATAAGTAATAATTGCTTTGCTGCTAGTCCCTGTTTAAAATCACTGTCTTGAATTTGAGTCACCATGTGCATTCCAACTGTGCAATATGGGTGTGATTCTCAGTTACACTAAGGCAGCTTTACGCTGCTCTTACAACATAACAAGACTCCTAAATAATGTTGGAGGGTGCTCCCAGCCTGCTTAAGAATGTCAGTAGTGGGCAGAGCCAGCTGGAGAGCTGAACTGGGAAAGGTGGTTGGAGAACGCTCTTCTTTGGTTATTCTTTCCTTTCTGGGAGCTAGAAGAAACAAGGTACAATAGAAAGATTAGAGTAACCTTCAGGCCACTGTAATTTTTGCTGAGGGCCAGGGTCTGCCAAGCTCAGAACACAGGGAACTCAAAGAAAGCTTAAAACTATCTTTACCCCAAGCACAGTAATTGCAAAGCGGCAAAGAGTGTTCCTGATCTGCATTGGTAGTCTTACACCCATGTTTGCATACGCAAGTACAAGGCAGTAATTGAATCAAATCCAAAGGGCCAAGTTCTGTTCTTGGTTATAATTGTACAACCCTACTGGAGTCAACAGCCTTGCATAGCCTCACCAAAAGCAGAATTTAGTCTCCTACTTCAGAAATAATGGAGCAAATGAATCCATGCTTAAATTAAACAGCTGCCCCCCCCCCCCCCCAAATGCAGCATTGGAAGGCAGATGGGAGCTAGTATGCACAGGGAACTGGTTTTTAAACAGACTCACCAGATGTACCAGTTCTCGTGGAACCCCCATCACTCCACACTGCTATCTCTGATAGAAGCAGCACGGGGCGAGGGGGAAAGGCAGGCTCCTCCCACCTTGTAAACGTGTACCCACTGAAATTTTCAAAATTCCAGTGGAAATATGGAGTTGGAGAGGAAACTGTGTTCTCTCTGAATGAATAACATGGCCCTGTGACTCTTGCAGCCCAAACACTTGCAGTCTAGTTTTGGTACCTGAAAACTAAAAGTAAAATGGATTAGAAACCTGATTCTGATGCCACTTACGCTGAAGTAATTGGGAGTAAGGCGGGTGTGTGAGCAGAATTTTACCTGACTATAAATAGAGGTGAAGGTCCAAGGCAAGAGAAATTAAAGGAACCAGAGAAATATCATCAATAAGTAGTAAGAAAAGTAAATCAGAGTTGGAGTTCTCTTAATCTAAGGTTAGATTAATAACCTAGGGAAAAGAACATGCTTTTTGCTTAGGTTACTAACTTTAGGTTAAGAGAATTCTCTTTTCCCTGTCTGTGGTTGGAATGGAAGGCTGATTGGTACTTGCCAATCTAAGGTGCAGCAAGAACAAACCAAAGTCTGCTTCAGCAAGTGGTTGGTTTCTGACATTAGACACACAGGTGAAAGATATTGGGGTGAGCAAGCAAATTTGCCCATGACTTTTTGCTATAGTGGATGACTGATGTGGAAACATTTCTGAAAGGTTAAAAAACAGTGACTTGGGGCAGATGGCAGTCCAAACAATCTCTGCTTGTGCATCTGTTTTTGCTTACTTGTATTTTTCTCCATTGTAATTAATTTAATGTCAAGTGTTTGTCCATGAGGTATTACCTAGTCTATAAGGCAAATGATTGAAGCATTTAAAAATGTATTGAGAGATGCTGTATATATGTTTAGTTGCTTAGTTCTGAAAATCATTAGCTGGCATGACTACTCTGGCTCACATAATATTCCCTATCAGACTGTCCAAGCAATCAGAAATCAGAGCTTGCTTAACATAGCTTTTTTGTTTTGCTTTTCTAGAGGAATGTAGTGGAAGGGCAGAATTGTTTGTATATCCCTATTTGCAAGGAATTTATGACTGATGCAATTGCAATGCTCCATGCTGATTAGTCTTACTGCTCTGTACTGAAAGAATAGCTTTAATGAAGAGAGACCAATTCCTTCTTGCATCAATTTTACATCTTTATATTTCCGCTGAGTTCAGTGGAGCTATTTCTTATTTCCCAGTGTATGTGAACTGAAAATCCAAGCCCAGCATGTTTTGCTTTATAGGCAGTTACTATTTAAACTCCACTGTGTATATAGAAATATTGAAGATGCTAGGTGATATTAGGCCCTGGTGCATTTACACACCATCTGCTTCTACACATACTGAGTATCTGGTCAATCTGTCTATGTAGTAGGTAATAGGATGCAGGTCCACTAACAGCAATTCTGGATCCAAGACAAAACAGACTATGGGCCCTCCTCTCCTTCCTTTTCTGGAGCCACAAGCCCCCTCAAGCACAGGGCCTCTGGCTGGTTGCAGCCTCTCCACCATCATCTGCCCGGAGGAGCCCTGTATCAGCTGTAGCCATCCCCCTCCTTCCCTCCCTTCCCTAGATCCAACCCAGCAGTATTTGCTACTCAGGCTGCCTTCACACCTGCATAGGGCATATCAAAAGCATTGAGGAGTTGCTTTTCTGCAGAGCAGGGCTCCTGGGGGCAGGGGTTGCTTCGAGCTTCAGTGAGGGAGGCCTGTAGTTCGTCCAGGACTCCTGGCCAGGGGAAAGGTGCATGGGGCTTCTCTGGGCTGGGGTGGGAGGGCCAGGGGTCTGAGCTTGGCCTGGGACTCCTATGGCCAAGGAAAGTCACATGGGGCTTCTCTGGGTGGAAGTTTCTTTGGGCAGGGTGGTGGCGGCTTGTGGCTCTAACCAAGGGAGGAGGACTGGGTAGCAGGGTCATGCAGCTCCAGCCAGGAAGGGATGGTGTGAGTGCAAGGAGTGAAGTCAGGGGTTAGCCTCCTTCAAGAAAGCTCCACCTGCTGCCCATGCAACCAGACCTGCAGCCTGCCTGGGTGATTTAAAAGGGCCCGGTGGGGTTCTTGGCTGTTGCTGCAGTGGCAGGGGCCTCTGGGCCTTTTTAAATCATCCAGGCCCCATGGCAATTACTCCCCTCTCGCCTGTTGGTGGGTCTGACAGGATAGTGTTACCATAAACTGGTTGCATTACTCCTGATTCTCCTTTGGTGCAAGTGGGAGGAAAAGGAGGCTTGAAGGATGTGAAAATATTTCCGCTGTATGCTAATATGATCATGTATTGATGGGAGATACCGAGCTGCCTAGGCCTTATTATTAATGATGACCTGTCCCTCTTGATTCCTGGTCAAGTCAAGCCTGCTATTTAAAAATGTGATCCTGATGACCTCAGCTATTGGAGTATAAACCCTTTCCTGTCTTTAAAGACAGCCAGCCGTAAATGTGCATGTGCAATACTAAGTAACTCACTAAAATGTTTGCTTTTATCTGAAAACATCCTTTTCAAAGTGCTGAACCCAACACTGCTTTTTTTTTTTTCTCTCTCTCTCCCTTTTTTTTTCCCCTGCAGAGCAGAGACGAGGAATCCAGGTAAGAGCACTTAATTTTTCTGATGTTCTATAATGTCTAAAAGGAGTAGGTGCTCAGACTAGAGATTATGAGAAGCCGCATAGTCCAATGGATCGATTATGGGACTGAAATCCAACGACAACAGAGCTCTAGTCTTAGTTGTGCTCCTGACTCCCTCCTTAGTCTTGGGCAAGACTCTTATGCCAGAATATTCAAACTTAAGTCCCCATAGTTAGGCAGCTATTACCATAGTTCTGCTGTCTTTACTTTCGTGGCTCAATAGTCAGAGATGCTTAGTATTCACAGCTCCCATTAGCTTCAGGTATACCTGGATTTGCGATATAACTTGTTTTGAAAGCAGTTTTAATATAATTTTTGTTTCTGTAGCAATCCAGTCAGGACAAAAAATTATTAAAGCTCAATGTCTATCAAAGGAGCTAGTGTTCCTGGCCATACCCAATTCATTGCACTGTAAAACTCCCTATAGAGCAGTTTTTAAAGAATGTGAACATGTGCACAACTGTCCTCTACAAGAGGGATCCGACCTGCTAGACTGCATGTCATCAATACTCTTCTTTTCACGGAGATTCTCCTTTTAGCTCCAGTTGAGTACAGACTTGTGCTTCTGGAGCAGGAAAACTTGAGTTTATTCTTAGTTGGTGGCCATTGTTGCAGATATGATTTAACAGACAGACTTTTCACTGTGTTGTGGGATAATGTAAAATGAAGGGACCCAATCTTCTTTAATCCTGTGTTACAAAAGTGAACAAGTACAATGAGAATCAGTGGATACTGAGCCCTGTAGTTACTGTTACATTATGTAACTCTTATTCAAGCCTAAATTTAAATATGTTGAGCTTTTAAAAATGTGAAAATACATGCATGCTGAAATGTTAAATCCAAGATTTAGAAAGAAAGGGAGAAATTAATTGTGGTTGAACACAAGGGTTGGTCTATCATCGTGTTGCCAACAGTTACCGGAAAAAGGTACAAGAAACTGCAGAAAGCCGTACTAGAATAACCAACTCATTGCCCTACCAGGGAAAGTTTCTTCCTAGTTAGAAGTCCCAAAATGTGAGGGTTTATAACAGGTGGACAAGAGGCTGCCAGTGGGCCAGATCCGGCCCTCCAAGCTACCGGATCCAGCCCATGGCTGTCTCATTGGGACCCTTAAGCACAGTGCCGTGGCAGCTGCTTTAAATGTGGCTGGTTATTCTGGGAGCAAGGAGGGAGGCGTTGTGCTCTGTCCCATGCCTCAGCAAAATCTCTCGGCTCCCATTGGCCAGTTTCTGACCAAAAGCAGCTGAGATATTTTTCTGGTGGTAGAGGCAGCCAATGAATCTTCCTCCCTCCCTCCCTGCCTTTCTTCACCCTGCCCTAAACAGAGCCCTATGGAGCAGCTTGCAGCCTTCAGGTTCCTGCAGGGTTGTTTGCTGGGAGCCACCTAGGTAAGTGCCTCCCAGCCAGAGCCTGACTCTGGCACCTCCCTTTTCCTCCCCCCAAACTACCTTCCCCAAGCCACCACCCAGAGCCTTTGTATGCCTTTCCCCCCAGGTCACAGCGTCCTCCCAGATGCTGATGAACACTCTCCTACATCCTTCTCCTAGGCCAGAATCCTCTCTGGAACCCATACCCCCTCCCTGACCCTGCACCCCACTCCTACCCTAAGTCATCACCCAAACCCTCTGCACTCCCTTCATCCAGGTCAAAACTCCCTCCCAGATCCTGCATCCGCCTACTAGAGTCCCTTCCTCAGGCCAGAATCCTCTCCTGCACCCATAATCCCTCCTCGACTCTGGCTCCCAAGCATCTGCCCCAGATCACAACACTCTCCTTCACCCAAACTCCCTCTCAGATTCCACACCAGTCTCCTACCCCAAGCTCCCTTCTGCTCCCCACCTCTTTCTCAGACCCCAAACGCCCTTGGTAGAAATGTGGCCCTTGACCACTTGCCAAAATCTTGAAGTGGTCCCCCCCATTAAAAATTATTGCCCATCCCTGGTTTATAACCTTTCCATAACTTAGAGTTATGATGCTAAGTTTTAAACAAATAACTCTGAACATTCTTACTAGCCAAATAAATATCCACAAATTCTAATCAGCCTGCAATTTTTCCCCTTCTGTGTGGGTTTCCCTTGGCTTTCTGAGTTCTTGAAATCCAGTTATTTGGTGTCTGTTATGTTGCACTTCTCTTTTTTTGATAACAAGCATTCTTTTTTGCATAGAGCCACTTACAGGATTACATCTAGGAAATAGGGATTCATCTGAAGAATGTCACATGCCACCCTTAGAAAGTCCTGTTTTCTCAATTAGTGTTATTCAGATAGCCCAAGATAGTGCAGGCTGATATACTGAAGGGCTTGTTCTAATTCTTACTCATCTTGGCTTTCCTTTTTGCCCTCCTCATCCCCCCAGCTGCATGTTGTTCTGCATTAGGGGTGTTTGGTTTAATTCTTATGGGAACTTGGCATTCTAGGCCCTTTAAGGATATTGATGTTTTACAGACTGCCAGTTCATTGATGCTCTGGCAAGTGCTACATGTATGCTCTTGATCTACAAAACACTTGTAGCATTCTACATATGTGGGATCCTAAATGAAGAATAGACTCTGTGAATGGGCTGAATTAGGGAATATGGTAAGAATGAACCACTTAGGGTAATGGGACGCCAGAGGAAAAGCAGGTCTTTGTTCTATTAGCCAGCCCCAGAATCCCACACTGTAGATAGTTTAGTGCAGTGGTGGGCAAAAGAGCCTCTGCAGGCCGAATCTGGCCCATCAAGCGAGTTGATCTGGCCCACGGAGGCCCTGCTGTTCTCACCCCCCCCCCCCCCCCCCAAAATCTCTCGGCTCCCATTGGCCAGTTTCTGACCAAAAGCAGCTGAGATATTTTTCTGGTGGTAGAGGCAGCCAATGAATCTTCCTCCCTCCCTCCCTGCCTTTCTTCACCCTGCCCTAAACAGAGCCCTATGGAGCAGCTTGCAGCCTTCAGGTTCCTGCAGGGTTGTTTGCTGGGAGCCACCTAGGTAAGTGCCTCCCAGCCAGAGCCTGACTCTGGCACCTCCCTTTTCCTCCCCCCAAACTACCTTCCCCAAGCCACCACCCAGAGCCTTTGTATGCCTTTCCCCCCAGGTCACAGCGTCCTCCCAGATGCTGATGAACACTCTCCTACATCCTTCTCCTAGGCCAGAATCCTCTCTGGAACCCATACCCCCTCCCTGACCCTGCACCCCACTCCTACCCTAAGTCATCACCCAAACCCTCTGCACTCCCTTCATCCAGGTCAAAACTCCCTCCCAGATCCTGCATCCGCCTACTAGAGTCCCTTCCTCAGGCCAGAATCCTCTCCTGCACCCATAATCCCTCCTCGACTCTGGCTCCCAAGCATCTGCCCCAGATCACAACACTCTCCTTCACCCAAACTCCCTCTCAGATTCCACACCAGTCTCCTACCCCAAGCTCCCTTCTGCTCCCCACCTCTTTCTCAGACCCCAAACGCCCTTGGTAGAAATGTGGCCCTTGACCACTTGCCAAAATCTTGAAGTGGTCCCCCCCATTAAAAATTATTGCCCATCCCTGGTTTATAACCTTTCCATAACTTAGAGTTATGATGCTAAGTTTTAAACAAATAACTCTGAACATTCTTACTAGCCAAATAAATATCCACAAATTCTAATCAGCCTGCAATTTTTCCCCTTCTGTGTGGGTTTCCCTTGGCTTTCTGAGTTCTTGAAATCCAGTTATTTGGTGTCTGTTATGTTGCACTTCTCTTTTTTTGATAACAAGCATTCTTTTTTGCATAGAGCCACTTACAGGATTACATCTAGGAAATAGGGATTCATCTGAAGAATGTCACATGCCACCCTTAGAAAGTCCTGTTTTCTCAATTAGTGTTATTCAGATAGCCCAAGATAGTGCAGGCTGATATACTGAAGGGCTTGTTCTAATTCTTACTCATCTTGGCTTTCCTTTTTGCCCTCCTCATCCCCCCAGCTGCATGTTGTTCTGCATTAGGGGTGTTTGGTTTAATTCTTATGGGAACTTGGCATTCTAGGCCCTTTAAGGATATTGATGTTTTACAGACTGCCAGTTCATTGATGCTCTGGCAAGTGCTACATGTATGCTCTTGATCTACAAAACACTTGTAGCATTCTACATATGTGGGATCCTAAATGAAGAATAGACTCTGTGAATGGGCTGAATTAGGGAATATGGTAAGAATGAACCACTTAGGGTAATGGGACGCCAGAGGAAAAGCAGGTCTTTGTTCTATTAGCCAGCCCCAGAATCCCACACTGTAGATAGTTTAGTGCAGTGGTGGGCAAAAGAGCCTCTGCAGGCCGAATCTGGCCCATCAAGCGAGTTGATCTGGCCCACGGAGGTGCTGCTGTTCTCACCCCCCCCCCCCCCCCCGGGGAGGGGGGAGGCACACAGTCTCCTCCCACCCTGCCCCCCTCCTTGCAAGGAGTGCACGGCACTTAGAAGCACCGCGTGCTCCTGGCAGCATGGAAGGCGACTTTGCGCACTTCTCCTACTCCAAGCCCTGATTGGCCTGGGGGGTTGAGGGCACTTCTATGCACTGTGCACTGCTTGCAGGGTGGGGCAGGGCGGGAGGAGACTTCCCATGTTCCCTGCCCCCCAAGCCCTGATTGGCCTGGGGGTGGAAGGAGGGAAGTGCATGAAGTCTCCTCACGTCCTGTGAGGGGTGTGGCACTTCTAAGCACTGCACGCTCCTTGCAGGATGGGGGCAGGGTGGGAGGAGACGTTGTGCATTTCCCCTGCCTCCAGGCGAATCAGGGCTTGGGGGGCGCAGGGGGAGGCTGCTCCCGCCCCGCAAGGGGTCAGCATTTAAAGTTAACCACCAGCTGCTGTTCAGCTGGCGGTTGACTCTCAGCGTGGCACTCCCTTGAAGGGTGGAGGCAGGGAGCGAGAGACTTCTGTGCTCCCCCTCCCCAGGCCCTGATTTGATCTGGGAGCAACAGGGGGAGAGCACACAAAATCTCCTCCCACTGCCAGGGGCACAGGTACCTAGAGGGAATCACCAGCTGTTCAGAACAGCAGCGGTTCTCTGTTCAGCTGGCGGTTGACTCTCAGCGTGGCACTCCCTTGAAGGGTGGAGGCAGGGAGCGAGAGACTTCTGTGCTCCCCCTCCCCAGGCCCTGATTTGATCTGGGAGCAACAGGGGGAGAGCACACAAAATCTCCTCCCACTGCCAGGGGCACAGGTACCTAGAGGGAATCACCAGCTGTTCAGAACAGCAGCGGTTCTCTCTAGGGGAAGGCAGACTTTACACGCTCCCCAGACCAGTCACGGTCTGTGGGTAGAGAAGCATGGAAGTGTCCTGGCCCTGCCCCTTCTGGGATGGCCTGGGGGCACTTGAAAAATTTCTGAAGTGGCCCCCGGTCAGATATTATTGTCCTCTCCCCTGTTTTAGTGTCACTTCAAGACAGCAGCCAATAGGTAGCAAAGGGTGTTAAGTTGTTAGAAGCCAGTGAAGCATTGCTGCCTCCACAGAGATGCCCTGGTGTACTCATTGGTACTGATTAGTTTGTTTAGGCCAGCTACTGTCTGACTGGATCTGTTGTAACTAACACTTCAGTGCCAGTTGTGGTTGACTTTTTAAATTTGACGTGCTCTTCACCATCACTGGAAGCCAAGTGCATCTCGTTGACAGAGGTGTTGATAACAATTTTGAAATGCAACATAATATGAGAGAGAGATCAGGAGAGGTGACAGCACTTCTCAAAGTGGGAGAGTATAGTTAAAAATAACACTGTGAATTGCTGTTTCGATTCTTGCACGAGATACGATTGTCTGGACCCCAGGGCAAGTAATATTGTGCCTGTTGTTATGAAACCATTCCGTGCAGTGTTTACATTCTCTCTCAACAGTGTTAATAACCCAGAAAACTATAGAAGCACTGAAGTACACTGCAAATGTGGAAAAAGTGTGGAACTGACTTTAATATCCAAGTTACACAAGGTAACTGTGCCGACTGTTGTCTGGTTAATAAAAACCTCAATTCTTTCAACCTATCTGAAGCTGCTGCAGAGTCAAGGGACCCTGAAGCAGATTTTAGGTCTAATGTTCCATGAAGTAAATGAGACCTTGTGCACAGACTGAGGCAGCTGCCAGCTGGCCATGAGTCTGTTTACTTCAGCAGAAGGAGGAATAGCTTCAAAGGCCACCTGGACCACTGAAGCATAGATGATCCTTGCTCATCTGGGAGGATTCTGCTGATGTCACCCAGCAGCAAATAACTCTGGGAACAAGGCTGGTGTCAGCAAGACACCCCATCCTTGCAGTCCACTGCTTAGGTGGGCAGGTGTTGAGTCCTCTCTCCTTTTGAGATAGACCCCAGTCCATCCTGTACATAGGGTCTCACCTATGCAATGACACATCAAACCTAAAATCTGCTTCCAGGTTGCTGGATTGTACAGCAACTTCAGATATGCCAGAGAAACCATTAGGAAAAGAATTGGTAATAAGGTAGAAAATATCATAATGCTACTATATAAATCTGTGCTGCACCCACTTCTTGAATACTGTGTGCAGTTTGATTGTCCTATCTCAGAAAAGGCATAGAGAAGGGCAACAGAAATGATTAGAGGTATGTAACAGCTCCCACATGAGGAGAAAATAAAAAAACTGGGACTGTTCAGCTTAGAAGAGTGAGAAGATGTATATATGTGGGGGGGAATATGATAGTCTATACAGTCATGAACAGTGTGAAGAAAGTGAATAAGGAGGGGATAAACAACAGTTCGTGCAATTCAAGAACCAGGGGTCACCCTATGCAATTAATAGGCAGCAAGCTTAAAACAAACAAAAGGAAGTACAGTAAACTTCCGATAATCCGGCACCTTTAGGGGTCCCCAAGTCAGCCGCTGCTGAAACAGATCAGCGGCTGATTCCAGGAAGCCCCGGGGCAGAGCAGCTCTGTTTCAACAGCAGCTGAATCGGGGACCCCTGGGACAGAGCAGCTGGGGTGCTGCCGGGTTGGTCCCGCAGCCCCGAGGGGCAGTGCTACGAGACCAACCCAGCAGCACCCCAGCTGCTCTACTCCTGGCTTCCCCGATTCAGCTGCTGGTCAGGTTCAGCCGCAGCTGCAGCTGCTGGTCAGTTTCAGCAGCAGCTGAATGGGGGAAGCCTGTCCGGCTGCCCCAGCACTTCCGGGTTCCTGATGGTGCTGGACCATCAGGAGTCCCGGAGCATTGGATGCTGGACTAATGGAGTTTTACTGTACTTCACATAATGCATAGTCAGCATATGGAACTTGTTGCCAAGGGATGTTGTGAAGGCCAGAAGAATAACTGGGATCAGAAAATAATTAGATAAGTTCATGAAGGGGATAGTTAATCAACGGATGCAAACCTATGCTCTGGGTGTCCCTAAACTTCTAACAGCCAAATGCTAAGACTGGACAGCAGGGGAACACTTGATAACTGCCATGTTCTGTTTTATTCCCTGTGGAGCAGATAGCACAGGCCACTTTCAGAAGACAGGATACTGGACTAGATGGACCATTGGTGTGACCCAATATAGCTATTCTTATGTGGTGGCCCAGAGGTTAGGAGAAGCTTTCACTTGTCCAAAGAATGGTGCCTGGGGAGAAATGCTTCAGCTTTTGTATGGGTGGCCCTTTCCACTATCATCCCAAAGAATTAGAGGGTGACAGAACTGTCAGGGCCTCCATAGAGGAGTATTCCTAGTGAATTAAACTGCGTTGATCTAGCCCACGTGGAAGTGCATATTGGATCGGGGCTTTTTAAGAATCAGTGTTCTGTGTGGATAGTAAAATTTTCATGCCTCTCTTTGTGAGAGGAGGAGTTCACATTGGTGTCCTTGTCAACATCTCCTTTATCTGCCTCTCTACTGTTGCCTTCCCTGCTGCACGGGTTTGCATTTTGCTCATGCTCTGTTTCTATAGCATGTAAAACACGTTAGGATGAAAGCCCCAAAGGAAATGTAAATTGTCATTTCTCTGGCCTAAACGGTTGGCTTCTGATAACTTCACCTTTCCCACTTACCTCCACGCCTCTGTGCATTGTAATAAATGGCTTAGTATCTCCTATCATATCCATGCTTTTTATAGCCACTTCACCTTGTATATATGCAGTACTGTTATAGCAGATATTCCAGATGCTGTGCTTGCTTTGCAGTAGTTGAGCTACAGGATTTCTATGCTGTGCATTTCCTAGGATTCAGAATGTAACCCATCATTATTCTAACATCAGTCACTGAAATCCCTGCTGAAACTGAAGGGAGTGATATAAAGCAGATATGAACCAAACAAACAAAATATAAATAACCACCTAACCCTAAAATAGTAATGTGTGTGGAATCTGCACATGCCTCACTTATGCCACAGCAATATTGGACAGTAATTTTCTCATGCACTTTTATGATGATAGATTCTTATTCCTGCATCATTTACAAATCCCCTTCAATGTGATGAATAAAGGAAGAGTTTTATTACTAACATAACTTCCAGAAGTTACTTTGGGCACCCATTCAACCCTGCAGCCTTCAGAGTTGTAGCTTTACTAAGGCTGTCTCAGTGACATGAAAGAGATATTAACAGGATCCCTGAAGAGTAAATTACAAACAGGAACAATCTGCTCACCTTACATAGAACAATTTTTGAGTTAATAGCCTCACTTTGCCGCTAGGGAGTAGTTGTCCACTGTCTTTCCATCTGCCCTTATTCTGTCTCTCTTTGATTAGAACTCGTTTGGGTGGGAGTGTATTGATGTGCACGGAGATAGAGGTTTAACCAGTGGTTAGTCATTTTTAAGAGGGTTTTTGCAGAGGGCAGATTTGTAAAGCGGACACTTAAATGAATGAGCTGTTTAAGCAGCAATTTTCCATTTTCTGCCTACTGTTCTGGGCTCTTTCTGTCCAAATGAGTTTCTTGTCCCCCTTCTGCCCAAGTCAGAGGTGAAATATACACTGTGTGTAACTGTCATAAAAAAAATTCCCACCAAACACAAAATCAAATCACCACTCCTTTCCAGATGAAACAAGCCCAATTCTTTCAGTCTTCCTTCATAGGTCATGTTCTCTAGACTTTTAATCATTCTTGTTGCTCTTCTCTGGACCTTCTCCAATTTCTCCACATCTTTCTTGAAACGTGGTGCCCAGAACGAGACACAATACTCCAACTGAGGCCTGATCAGCACAGAGTAGAGTGGAAGAATGACTTATCGTGTCTTGCTCACAACACTTATGTTTGTTGCAAAAAAAACAATCCACTGGGTCATGTCTTGCAGTGTCGGTGTTCACATATGATTCTGGGATGCACTGTGTCACACTGTTGACTCCTATTTAGCTTGTGGTCCACTATGACCCCTGGATCACTTTCTGCAGTACTCCTTCCTAGACAGTTGCTTCCCCTTCTGTATGTGTGAAACTGATTGTTCCTTCCTAAGTGAAGTACTTTGCATTTGTCCTTGTTCAACCTCATACTGTTTACCTCAGACCATTTCTCCAGTTTATCCAGATCATTTTGAATTATGACCTTGTACTTCAAAGTGGTTGCCACTCCTCCCAGGTTGGTATCAACTGCAAACTTAATAAGCGTACTCTCTATGCCAATATCTAAATTGTTGATGAAGATATTGAACAGAACTGGTCCCAGAATCCCTGCAGAACCCCTTACTGCATGATTCTGAACCATTATTACCATAAAATTGCAAGTATAATGCACACTTTTTTTTTCTGGATTTTTTTTAACGTCAAAGTCGGGATGCGCATTATCTATAGGAGTTGGGTTTTTTTAAGTTTTCGTTTGGCAGTTCCACGTCAGTTAATTAATTGCTGGACACCGGAGGTTAAGTTGAATTTTATTAGCATAGGCAAACAATCATATACACTTTCAAAAAAGTAAGTAAAAGTAAGGAAATCAACACCGCAGCTCAAACACGCTTCTACTCATCTTCGAAGCCCTTGAATTTGCTGCTGTTAGAATCTTCCTCGAACAGACAAGCAATATCTTCCGGGATATAGCCCTTGACATCTTCATTCAGGTAATACAAGTCATGGTCATCTTCGCATAAATCACCCTCAGCCGATTCATTGTCACTCAGATCTGTCCACAGGGCATCATCCTCGCTGCCACTCATAGCATTAGAGATGCTGCATTTCAGAAACCCCTTACTTATGATGGCAGGATCAAGTTGAAGCCAGACATCCTCTATCCACTGGGTCACGTCTTGCAGCGTCAGTGTTCGCATATGTCCACCTGCAGTAAATGTATGTTCACCTTCCAAATACCAGGTGTTCCATTTCCTGTGTAGTGCATCTTTCATTGGCTTTTTTTATTTTACATCAAACTGTGCAACATTTTGGTCATTCCACCAGGAATAATTGCCACGTCTGTTTTGTCCCGCTGAAGCCTTTTCTTGATGGATGGCATACGATGACAACGAAATGCATCCAAAACTATTAAAGACCGCTTTCTCGTAAGTCCACCCGGCTGCTTCGCCCAAACTGTCTGTAGCCAATTAAGCATTAAAGCTTCATCAATCCAGCCTTTAGGGTGAACACGCACATGAACAGTGTTTGGGAATATAACATTCTTTGGCATTGTCTTGTGCTTGAAGACAATATAAGGAGGCAGCTTCGGTTCTGTTGGCCATGCAAACAAGCATTATGGCGAACCTCGACTTTTCATGCCCTGCGGTAACAATTGAGACGGTCTTGGCACCTTTCACTTCAAGCGTTCTATCGTAAGGATTATTGAAATTTAAAGGCGTCTGATCTGCATTACCGATTAATGAAAGGTCGTACCTGTGCTCCTTGAATAGTTTTATGATAAACTTTTGGAACTGTAGTAACTTAGTGTCAGAGTCCAGGGGTAGCTTCTGCGTGATTGCCGTTCGGCGTCGGACCGATAGGCCATGCCGATGCATGAACCAATCGCCCCAGCCATGTGACGCTTTAAACCCGGCTATGTTAGTGCAAATTTTCACAATCATCAAAGCCTTCATTCGAACCTCCACAATGGTAACACCGCTGCCTTGGTGTCAACGCTCAGCAATCCACTCAAGCAGCTTGGCCTCCAGTTCAGGATATACAGTGCTTTTACCTCGCTCAGCTATCTTCGTCCAAGGAAACGCTTGCAGGCTCTCTTTCTGCCATCTCCAAAGCCGAATGTTAGAGTCTGCTATGCCATCAAAGAGTCTGTTGCCATGAGCCTCAGCATACCTAACTACCTTAAGTTTTTCAGCTGTAGTGTAAGATCGCCAACAACTCATGGTAGCACAAAGAGAGCATGGAAATGCCGTGCATTATATACTCATGCATTCACGTGCAATTGACCAGCAATACAAAAGGGCAGGAAATACAGCAAATTCGGGGTGTGCATTATATATAGGTGTTCAGTTTTTCCATGATTTTGACATTGAAAAGTTAGAGTGCGCGTTATACTCGCGATTTTACAGTAACTACTTTCTGAGAATCTGAAGGGGTCATTTATCGAGGTAGCACTCCAGTAATTACTTATGAAGAAGAATGGCTGTATGCCCTTTGAATCAGTTTCAAAGGCTCTGAAGCCAGTACCCCTCCACAGTTCCTTTAAGAGCAGGTCCCAGTGGTGAAATTTTTATGTATTGTTGGCCTTAGTGTCTGTTTTCCCGAGACGAGAAGATGTCAGAAACCAGTGAACTGTTTTCTCAGCCTCATTTAATGGTATTGTAGGCCACTGGCCTGCCTCCATCAGCCCAGGGAAGACTTAACGCCACATTCGAAATCTGTTCAGGGCCTTAATTCAGAGTGCAATTTTATTCTTTAAACTCAAGACAAAGTAACACCAAATAAAGCAATTCCCTGCACCAAAGCAGGCCTGCAGGGGCCCAAAGGCCTCTTTTCCACTTCCAGAGCAAGAAACAGAAAGCCATCTGCTTCACACAGTTTGCTTCCTCAACTGAGGCAGGTATGGGCTTTTTATAATCACTTGATCAGTCTCGGGTGGGAAGTAGCTGATCATTCACAGGTGAGACTGAGCCCCTACTTTCTTTAAAAGGACATTCACCCTGAGGCAAGTAGCATTTTACTGAAGAACTGGAATGTAATATTCCCCTGTCATTCAGAAGCTGGTAAATGTGATTGGGGACTCTTAGGTGGTCTATTCTTACAATTATATTTTAAATTTAATAAGTGATTTGAGATTCTAGCCATAGGTGAACAGGCTTTTCCTCCTCTAATCGTCTGCATACCAGTTGTAAACGAAAACTCTATCCCATCTTCCTGGAGAATGTGTGACCTCTTTAGTAATGCATAGAGAGGAATTTAGTCAGATGTCTGACAGTTTGTTTTTGCCAGAGACAGAACTGGCTCTTTAAACTACTCTGACAATACCCAGATGTTCTTTCTGGCGCATAGAGTTTTCATTTTTCTGTCATTGCTCCATTCATCTTACCCTTGTCCGCCATACATCTATTTGCTGGGGCTTTTGGGGGAGGCTGTTAATACAAGTGGGACAGGAGTCTTTAATGGGGGCACAGTGTGGGTGTGTATGCATGCTTAATTATTGGCTGTCTGATCCTGTTACTGTGTGGGTTTTGCTATCAGGCTATTAAATGGAGTGTCATTTTGAATAATCGTCAAGGTGCCTCGAGCTGAAGTAGATCTTACTTTTTTAAAAAAAGCGTTTCACTTTAGTACCCAGTCTTAGACATTATTCATGCAGATTTCAGCCTTCTCTTCTCATACCCATGTCATACGGTTCATAATAAAATTTCATATTTATTTTATGAGCCAACCAGCTGGTGGATTCAGTATGGGACAAGAATGAGAAATCCTGATGAAATCTTTATAAGTCTAATCTATATAGGCATTTACACTGTGATATTCTTGCCGGGGTATTGTCAGTGACTTCATTCTCTGCACAGCTAGAAGTGCGTTTCTTACTTTGACTTACTAATTTCTCCCACTTACTGAATGTGATCTGATTAGTTTTTGGTGCATACAGTTACTCTTGATGATGTATGTAGTAAAGGATGTTTTTTAAATACTTAGTTTTCTTTTCAGATACTTGATGGACTTTCTTTTAAAAAATGTAAATGCATAAACTACACCAGTGGCTTTGTGTGTCTCTGTTGATTCAAAGCAGCTGTAAGCCCATTGAATCCAACTCTCTAAAGAGTGGCCCACTTTGAGAAACACTGGTCTACAGCTTTTTTCAGAGTTCTTTAG